TAAATGTCAGTTTTCTTCTCCCTAAGTTTATTTTACCTGTCTACTTGGATGAGCTTCAGAACTATCCAAGTCTAAGGAATATTATCTTTCTCTTCTACATTTTGCTGTAGAACATTTTGTCATATTTTGTGCACCGTATATTGAAAATTCAGAAGCCATATTATATAGCGGAAGTAATCCAAGACTTAACTTGGAAAAGAGTCACCAACTAGACTGCAGTGAAAATAATATATTTTGAACAAGCAAGTCAGTAAGAGTTAGCCATGCTATGTTCTCAAATAGGTTATAATTCTTTGATCCTTGAAATAATATTTATATACTATTTTCCCATAAAATGTTACATATGGATAAGATTTTAGAAGAGAATGGAATTGTGACAGAGATCAACTGTATCACTTCATGAATAAGGAAGTATTAAGATTAGAAAGGTAGCCGGGCTCCGTGTCTCAGTCTGTAATCCCGCACCTTTGGGAGGCTGAGGTGAGTGGATTGCCTGAGCCCGCGGGTTCGAGACCCGCCTGGGCAACTTGATGAGACCTCATCTCTACAATAAATCAAAAAATTAGCTGGGTGTGGTAGCGTGCTCCTGTAGTTCCAGCTACTCGGAAGGCTGAGGTGGAAGGATCGCTGGACCCCAGCAGGTTGAGACTGCGGTGCCCCTGCACTCCAGTCTGGGTGACAGAGTGAGACTTCAACTCAAAACAAAACAAACAAACAAACAAAAAGATTAGAAAGGTTGAGTCTCTTTTCCAGTCACACAGAAATCAGTAGCTGAGCTTAAATAAGAATTTAACTTGTCTGATTCCAAATCTGTGGCTCTTTTTATTCGTACTGTAGTGCCTATATTGTTTGAACTCAAAACTAGAATGTACATTATGCCAATTTGATATGACTTAAACGGAAACAATGGGACAGTATATTTGAAATCAAAACTGAACTCCTAAATCAGAATACTTGAAAACTAAGACAGAAGTTTATTTATGCCCCTTAGTGTGCTTTTTTTTTCAATGTAAAGATTAAATGCTACTGCTTTCTCAGTTTTCATGGACTTCTTTAAATTGACAGAGCAGAAAAATGAAGAAAGCCAAACACCAGTGCTCGACATTGAGGAAATAATTTTAATACCAATTGACTCTACATCATTGAATATTAAGAACCTTCAGTACAGGAAGCCAGTCCAAGTCCAATACAGTGGATCTTCATGTTCTAGGAATTTACATGCTAAAACAAGCAATAATGCAACTATCTGAAAAAGCAAAACAAGGAAAAACACCCTTTTAGAGTTGCTAGCTGGAATGGTACTATGTACTGAACAAAAACAATTATGTAACTTATCTGTGACTTCTTGGGTTCTTGGAACTAATCATCAAAGTTATATCAGTCTTGTGTGACATTGTAAGAGGGACAGTCTTTAGGAAAAAAAATCTTTGAACCAAGGTAAAAATATATAATAAGCAATATGTCCCTAAACATTTTATTTTATTTATTTTCTATTTTTTATTTTTGAGTTGGAGTCTCACTCTGTCGCCCACACTGGAGTGCAGAGGCCGCTCCCGGCCACCGCAGCCTCGACCTGCTGGACTCTGGTGATCCTTCTGCCTCAGTCTTCCAAGTAGTTGGAACTACAGGTGTGCACTACCACGCCTGGCTAATTTTTGATTTCTTGTAGAGATGAGGTCTCTCCAAGTTGCCCGGGCGGCTCTCGAACCCGCGGGCTCAGGCAATCCACTCACCTCAGCCTCCCAAAGCGCGGGATTACAGGCTGAGCTACCGAGCCCGGCTTAGACCTCATCTCTTATGCACATCAAACCCTTCTTGCCGTCCTGCTCTCAGTCTAGCCATCTCCTGTGTTCGAAGTGGGAATGTGGCAGAGGAGCCTCTGGGCCCTGTTTAGGGCAGTCTCAGCCCTTGTCAGGCAGGACCCTGTGCCCAGATGTGGCCAGTGACGGATTAAACGTCAGGAGGCTGGGCTTTGCAATGTCCTTGGCATCCTGAACAGAAGCCCTCAGTTCATGGGATGAGTCCTAATGGGGTGACATGGGTAGCGGTTTAGAAATCTCCTGGCGCCCTGATGTCTTAAGTTTGGTCGTTGCTTTCCAGGTGTTTCTGCCTTGATAGATGTTCTTAGAGAGTGCCAAATATATGATCGTTAATACTACTTTCTCTTTTTTTTGACTTGGAGTTTCACTCTGTTGCCCAGGCTGGAGTACAGTGGCATGATCATGGCCACCACAGCCTCGACCTGCTAGGCTTAGATGGTCCTCCCACCTCAGCTTTCCAAGTAACTGAAACTTCAGGCACATGTCACCACACCCAGCTAATTTTTTGATTCACTGTAGAGATGAGGTCTTGCCAGGCTGCCCAGGCTGGTCTTCAACCCGTGGGCTCAGGCATTCCTCTCACCTCGGCCTCCCAAAGTGCTGCTATCATAGGTGTGAGCCAACGCACCTGGCCTGTTAATATTACTTTCTTAGGAAGATTAAGATATGTAGAAATAAGCACACATTTAAGCTTACTCACTGTCATTACAGCTGAAGGCTTTATTTCACTGCCCTTGGTAATGAGAAGTAATGGAATGGAGGTACTCCTGTGTGTGTTCTTCAGTTATGATATTAAAGGACTGATATTTAATAAGCGTTTCATGTTAAGACATTAAAAACTGTGGGCTTAGCCAGGCTCGGTGGCTCAGCCTGTAATCCCGTGCCTTTGGGAGGCTGAGGTGAGTGGATTGCCTGAGCCCGCGGGTTCAAGACCTGCCTGGGCAGGTGAGACCTCATCTCTACAATAAATCAAAAAAGAGTGAGACTCCAACTCAAACAAACAAACAAAAAAAAAACTGTGGGCTTTATATTTATAACCAGGTGCACTGGCTTACGCCTGTCATCCCGGCACTTTGGGAGGCTGAGGCAAGAGGATTGCCTGACCTTAGGGGTTTGAGACCAGTCTGGACAACTTGGGGAGATGTTAACTCTACAATAATTCAAAAAATAAGCCAGACGTGTTAGTGCGTGTCTGTAGTTCCAGCTACTTGGAAGGCTGATGTAGCAAAATCACCTGAGCCCAGCAGGTCAAGGCTGCAGTGGCTGTGTGTGTGCCACTGCACTCTAGCTTTTGTGACAGTGTGAGACTGCAACTCAGAAAAACAAAAAACAAATAACTGTGGGCTTTATGAGAATATCATGTATTGACTGTTGTCGAGAGGCAAAGTAATGGGCACGTTAAATTCATTATGCTCTTTCCCACTTCTGTATATGTTTGAAATTTTACATAATTAAAAATCTTAACAAGTAGGTTTTGACAAACCAAAAAATTTAGCAAAGTAAGGATTCTAACATTTTCAAATATCTACAAGTTTCTTTTGAATGGTGGCATTCAAAAGAAAACCAATAGTGGGTGTCTTATTTTTTGCTTATGATTTTGTTTTGTTTTTTGAGTTGGAGTCTCACTCAGTTGCCCAGACTGGAGTGTAGTGGTCGCTCCCGGCCACCACAGCCTTGACCTGCTGGGCTCCGACGATCCTTCCGCCTCAGCTTTTCAAGTAGCTGGAACTACAAGCGTGCGCTACCACGCCCGGCTAATTTTTTTATTTATTGTAGAGATGAGGTCTCGGCAAGTTGCCCAGGTGGGTCTTGAACCCTCGGGCTCAGGCAATTCACTCACCTCGACCTCCCAAAGCGCGGGATTACAGGCTGAGCCACCGAGCCCGGCCTACTTATGATATTTTAAGTTCTTTTAAAAAAATGTTTAAGATACATTTCATTTGAGAGTTAAACTTGGTGGTTTTTTTGTTTTTTTTGTTTTTGTCAGAGTCTCACTCTGTCGCTCAGCTGGAATGCAGTGGCACAATCATGGCTCACCGCAGCCTCAACCAGGTGGGCTCAGGTGATCTTTCCGCCTCAGCCTCCCAAGTAGATGGGACTACAGGTGCATGCAATCATGCCTGGCTTATTTTCGGATTTTTTGTAGAGACGAGTCCTCGCTGTGTTGCCCAGGCTGGTCTCGAAAATGCTGGGGTCCAGCATTTTCCCAAAGTTCTAGGATTATAGGCATGAGCTGCTGTGCCTGACCTTGACCTTTTTTTTTTTTTTTTTTTTGAGTTGGAGTCTCAGTCTGTCGCTCAGACTGGAGTGCAGTGGCTGCTCCCGGCCACCGCAGCCTCGACCTACTGAGCTCTGGCGATCCTTCTACCTCAGTCTTCCAAGTAGCTGGAACTACAGGCGTGTGCTACCACGCCCGGCTCATTTTGATTGTAGAGATGAGGTCTCGCTGCCCAGGTGGGTCTTGAACCCTCAGGCTCAGGCAATCCACTCACCTCAGCCTCCCAAAGGCGCGGGATTACAGGCTGAACCACTGAGCCCGGCTAATTTTTGATGTATTGTAGAGATGAAGTCTCGCCAAGTTGCCCAAGCGGGTCTCGAACCCGCAGGCTCAGGCAATCCACTCACCTTGGCCTCCCAAAGCACTGGGATTACAGGCTGAGCCACCGAGCCCGGCCGGCCTTGGCCATTTTAAAAATGAATTCACTGTAACTGAATTGTCATCGTTTTGAAATAAGTTACTTCTGATCCTACAGCTTAGTTCAGGACTATATTTAGATGACTCCTGAACATATTCTGGGGTGGCTTGTAAATGCATGGGGAGAGGTGGCTCTCGTAATGGTGACATTGAAAAGTACCTTTTTTTTTTTTGAGTCAGAGTCTCATTTTGTCGCCCAGACTGGAGTGCAGTGGCAGCTCCTGGCCACCGCAGCCTCGACCTGCTGGGCTCCGGCTATCCTTCCACCTCAGCCTTCCAAGTAGCTGGAACTACAGGCGCGCACTACCACATCCAGCTAATTTTTGATTTATTGTAGAGATGAGGTCTCGCCAAGTTGCCCAGGCGGGTCTCGAACCCGCGGGCTCAGACAATCCACTCACCTCAGCCTTCAAAGGCGCGGGATTATAGGCTGAGCCACTGAGCCTGGCTGAAAAGTGCCTTTTTAAAATCACTGAAACAGGTTCCATGGCGATCAGGAGTGTTATTACCAGGATGACCTACGGGTATTGTCCAGTCTTACCAAAAAGGAGCACATGAAAGGGAATGAGACCATGCTGGATTTTCGGACAAGCAAATTTGTGCTGCGCATATCCCGGGACTCGTACCAACTCCTGAAGCGGCATCTCCAGGAGAAGCAGAACAACCAGATCTGGAACATCGTGCAGGAGCACCTGTACATCGACATCTTCGATGGGATGCCGCGGAGTAAGCAGCAGATAGACGCCATGGTGGGGAGCCTGGCGGGAGAGGCCAAGCGAGAGGCCAACAAGGCCAAGGTACGGGAGGGTCCCGAGCCGAGTGGCGCCGGCTTTGACCAGCTGCGGCCTTTCCAAAAATCTGCGTGGCGGACCAGGCTTCTTTGAGCTAGCTTGGGAATCGTGCTGCACCGTACACAGAACTGCGTGTTCTAGGGACGATGTTTGTGTGTGAGGATTTGGGAGCGGTTGCCGTTAACAGGACCCTGCCTGCAGTGGCTAAAAGGAGAATGCCTTGAGGGTGTTTCCACAGGATGAGCTCCAGGGGGAGACCCTCAAACTGGCATGAGGTCCCTGGTGCCAGCAGGTCCCTGGGTCTCTAAATTCCAGTCCACCATCTTTAGAATGTGACTTTCTTTGTGCCCACCGATGGTTGCCACAGCTCCAGTATTGCAGTGGCATGCCAGGAAGGAGGAAGGGAGAGGGCAGCAGGCACATCTCTGCAGAGCCTTTTCTTTCTTTTTTTCTTTTTGTTTTTGTTTTTTTAAGTTGAAGTCTCACTCCTTCGCCCAGGCTGGACTCTGGCAATCCTTCTGCCTCAGCCTTCTAAGTAGCCGGAACTACAGGTGCGCACTACTGCGCCCGGCTAATTTGTTTGTTTGTTTTGTTTTTTTTTGAGTTGGAGTCTCACTCTGTTGCCCAGACTGGAGTGCGGTGGCCGCTCCCGGCCACCACAGCCTCGACCTGCTGGGCTCTGGCGATCCTTCCGCCTCAGCCTTCCAAGGAGCCGGAATTACAGGCATGCGCTACTACATCTGGCTGATTTTTTAAGTTATTGTAGAGATGAGGTCTCGCTGCCCAGCGGGTCTCGAACCCACGAGGTCAGGCAATCCACTCACCTCAGCCTCCCAAAGGCACGGGATTACAGGCTGAGCCACCGAGTAATTTTTGATTTATTGTAGAGATGAGGTCTCGCCAAGTTGCCTGGGCTGGTCTTGAATTCCTGGGCTCAGGCATTCACTTACCTTGGCCTCCCAAAGTGCTGGGATTGGGATTACAGACTGAGCCACTGAGCCCAGCCCTTTTTTTTTTTTTGAGTTGGAGTCTCACTCTCTCACCCAGACTGGAGTGCAATGGCCGCTCCTGACCACCGCAGCCTCAACCTCTGGTGATCTTTAGCTGGAACTACAGGCACACGCTTTCACACCCAGCTGATTTTTTGATTTATTGTAGAGATGAGGTCTCGCCACGTTGCCCGGTGGGTCTCGAATCTGCGGGCTCAGGCAATCCACTCACCTCAGCCTCCCAAAGCGCGGGATTACAGACTGAGCCACTGAGCCTGGCTCCTTTTTTTTTTTTTTAATGAGTTGGAGTCTCCCTGTCGCCTAGGCTGGCAGTGGCATGTGCAGTGGCATGTTCATGGCCACCGTAGCCTTGACCTGCTGGGCTCCAGCGACCTTTCTGCCTCAGCCTTCCAAGAAGCTGTAACTACAGGCATGTGCCACCATTCCTGGCTAATTTTTTTTTTTTTTTTTTATTTGTTGTAGAATTGAGGTCTCACCAAGTTGCCCAGGCTGGTCTCAAACCTTGGGCAGTCCTCTCACCTCGGCCTCCCAAAGTGCTTGGATTATAGACATGAGCCACCGCACCCAGTTTAACAATACTTTTTCAAAAACCATACCCAGTATATTTTTGTGTAAGCTTTTGGCCAGAATTATACTGTATGGACATTCCTAGCTACAAGGGAGCCTAGGGACAGAACTGACTCAACTGTGCATGTTGCTGTCCCAGTCAAATTGGGGCTCTGCTGGTGAGGAAAAGGGAGCGCGGCCATGGGTTGCCAGTGCAGAGGCCTCTTTAGGATCTAAATTATGGTGTTATTGCTGTGATTCATCGAACGAGGCGTGAAAGGGTGTGTTGATGCACGTATAACTAACTTAGCGGACGTTGGCTCTTGTGACTTCCGTAGGTGTTTTTTGGCTTGTTAAAAGAACCAGAAATTGAGGTGCCTTTGGACGATGAGGATGAAGAAGGAGAAAATGAAGAAGGAAAACCTAAAAAGAAGAAGCCTAAGAAGGACAGCCTGGGGTCCAAAAGCAAGAAGCAGGATCCCAACGCTCCACCTCAAAACCGGTGAGGCGAAACCTCAGGCGCCACGTGGGGGCGTGGGCCATGTGTCCCAGGGGGCTCGGTTGGTTGCCGTTCATGGGTCATCTCCAGTCGGCTCGTCTTTCACAGAATCCCTCTTCCTGAGCTGAAAGATTCAGATAAGTTGGACAAGATCATGAACATGAAAGAAACCACCAAACGCGTGCGCCTTGGGCCGGACTGCCTGCCCTCCATTTGTTTCTATACGTTCCTCAACGCTTACCAGGTGAGTGAATGACTGGACAGTTTCTGCCTGGAAAGTCAGGTAAGATGGTGATCTACCACTAAGAAACTTAAATGTGTTAACTAAGATAGAGTTTTGTTATTTAAACTCTTGGTATAATTTAAAGACAGCAGTTAGGGCCAGGTGTGGTGACTCATGCCTGTAATCCCAGCACTTTGGGAGGCTGAGGCCAGAGGACTGCTTGAGCCCAGGAGTTGGAGACCAGCCTGGGCAACATCGTGAGACCTTGTTTCTACAAAAAAAAAAACTAGCTGGGTGTGGTAGCATGCACCTGTAGTCCCATCTACTGAGGAGGCTAAGATGGAGGGATCACCTGAGCCCAGGAGGTGGAGGCTGTGGTGAGTGCCTAGAAGACCTTTGGTGACTCTTGCTTATACTTGATTCTCGTTTCACTTATCAAAGTTCTACCAGCTATTGAGGAAGACAGTGGCTCATCTCTGTTAACTTGGTTTAAGTACTTAAATAAACTTAGTATTTAAAAAAATTTTTTTTGAGTTAGAGTCTCACTCTGTTGCCCAGGCTGGAGTATAGTGCATGCTTATGGCCACCACATTCTCAACCTGCAGGGCTCAGGTGATCCTTCCACCTCAGCCTTCCAAGTAGCTGAAACTACAGGCACACACCACCGCACCTGGCTAATTTCTTAATTTACTGTAGAGATGAGGTCTTACCAAGTTGCCCAGGCTGGTCTCAAACCCGTGATCTCAGGCAATCCTCTCACCTTAGCTTCCCAAAGTACTGGGATTATCGGTGTGAGCCACTGTGCCCTGCAAAACTTAACATTTTTTATTAAGAATTCTTGTCCCTGGGTGTGGTGGTTCATGCCTGTAGTTCAGCTACTTGGATCACCTGAGCCTACCAAGTCAAGGTTGCAGTGGCTGTGAGCGTGCCACTGCATTCCAGCCTCAGTGACAGTGAGACTCCGAATCAAAAAAAAAAAAAAGAATTCCCTTTGCTTTTCCAGACTTCATATAGGCTGCCAAGGGATTTTATAGGATGCAGGGAGATCAGCATTTGCTGTCTGTCATGTACTCGAAACGCGCAGGGATGAGGGGTGACATACTCTCCTTGTGAGTGCTTTCCGACAGTGTTGCCAAGACAGGGAAGGAAATCTCCAGTGGTCTCTTCTTTGAGAAAGCTAGCCATCATTTTGTATTCTCTAAGATGTGATTGTAACTTTTTCCCCAAGAAAACAGTATTGTTTAGTGTACAACTTTTATTGGCAGGGTCTGACTGCAGTGGATGTCACTGATGACTCTAGTCTGATTGCTGGAGGTTTTGCAGACTCAACTGTCCGGGTGTGGTCTGTGACACCCAAAAAGCTTCGTAGTGTCAAACAAGCATCAGGTAACTGAGATGACCTGTCAGGATGTAAACTAACCGTTGGTCTGCACCGACTTTGATTCTGTGGGACAGACACAGGAGGTGCGGTCTTTGCAGAAATTCACGTGGTTGCTCTTGACCTCAGAAAACTCACGTTCCCAGCAGCGAAAGGAACACTGGAGGGGCTGTCGGGAGACTGGGGTGCTGGACTGATTCAATTTCTCTGGCCCTCATTTTTCTCATCGGGCTAGAAACCTCCTCCAAGTTAACCAGCTAACGTATGATGATTTGCTTGTAACTTCAAAAAATAACAACGGGAGAATACTTTCTACTTTGGCCATACTTTCTACTTTGGTGGCTAAAAAAGAACTAATATGGTTCTTGTTTTTGCTAAACGTTTTTTGCTAAGCTGTTACTTAAACCAAATGTTCTGAACTGTTGTCCTACTTCCATAGTGTCTGTGTGTGTGAACCGTCACGGTGCGGGAAACACATGTGGGTTTCAGTCCTGGTTCTGGCCCCGAGCAGCCGTGTGTCCGTTGGCGAGCTGCCCTCTGTCCTGAGCCTCAGCTTGCCCCAGGACGAAGTCACGCTGGGGTGGGGTCTCCTGTCCCGGAGAGGCGGTGTGGTGGCTGGTGTGCAGGAGGACCTGTCCGCATGTTCCGTCCTCTCCCGAAGCGTGGTGTGACTGCCTGCAAATATTTAATGCGTGTTCTGAACACAACCCCTATTTCTGGACCATTTTAGATCTTAGCCTCATAGACAAAGAATCAGATGATGTCTTAGAAAGAATCATGGATGAGAAAACAGCAAGTGAGTTGAAGATTTTGTATGGTCACAGTGGGCCTGTCTACGGAGCCAGCTTCAGTCCCGATAGGTAAAGTACAGATGCTACCCGCCACTACTGCTGCGTGACCTTGACACACGTGAGAGCTAACCCCTGGGAGCACGCAGGTGCTGGGCGGTCCTGCTAGCAAAGCCCTTGGCCGTGGCTGCGTTTCGTTCGTCGTCGGTGAGGAGCTTGGCACTTGCTCGCTTGTCTCGGGTGCTGCTGCTCAAGATAGCCATTTCCCGCGCGCCTGGGTTCGTGGAGCCAAGATGCGCAGCTTCGGGCTGGAACCTGTTCTAAAACTTAGCTTTAATTCTGTATGATCCTGAGTCCCTGTGTTGTGTCTGTGACTGCTCCATCAAATTTAAGGCTCGCCCTGACATTAATGGCACGTTAACTACCCCTCGAGGACTTATCTGTGCTCAGAAGAACTAGCAGGATGCTCAAGAGGCTGTGCTTCCCTTCGGTCTTTAATTCCGGTGTCACCCTCTGTGTGGAGGTGTTGCCTCTTTTTGATGATCTCTGTCACAGTGGAGGGCATTGGTATTCGTGAGACCATCCATATCTTACTTGGAGAGAGATCAGCTTTCAGAGCATCAAGGTTTTTTCTTTACGAAACTTGGAGGATGAAGTTTTTTGTTGTTTGAGAGGGTTTCACCAGATGATACATTTTTACTTGATGGCAACTTCTGATTTCAGTGAAAACTGTAATACTTCTAAGTATTCTACTTTTGTGTTTATCCCCGAGAAAAGAATATTAGTAGCTTTCCCACAAAGATAGTTCCTTTTTAATTCTTCCAGAACTCACACAGGATAGGAAGAGAACATCTCCATCTCAGTTGAAAAATTGCTGCGTTTTAAACGGCACACCCTGTTTCTTAGACTTTTTTGGTTGACTTTGTTTGTCCATACTGTTAGTACCTCTGGTGCTTCATTTCAAGAACTGTGGTTCCCCCTATAGACCAAGCTTTCTTACAGCTTTAGCTCACTCAGCTGCTCCGGAGGTGCAGTGTCAAGACTTCATGGTCTTTGCCCTTGCACCTCTTGGCTTGGGGAACCACAAGTGAGCCGCAGAGTGTTAGTTAGCACTGTTGAGCGCACCTGGCTGTGCAGAGAAGCTGGGCGGGTCACCGGAAGTCTCTCTGGGACTCAAACATCTCCCCTGCTCTTCCCTCAGGAACTACCTGCTGTCCTCTTCAGAGGATGGCACTGTTAGACTGTGGAGCCTTCAGACGTTTACGTGTTTGGTGGGATATAAAGGACACAACTACCCAGTATGGGATACGCAGTTTTCCCCTTATGGATATTACTTCGTGTCTGGGGGCCACGACCGCGTAGCTCGGTAAGAACTCTGTCATGTGAGGACTCTGTCTGTTCCGTGCACAGAGTGGCTTCTTGTTGGAAAGTGCAAACTCCAGCCAAACTTGTTTTCCCTTCCATCATTTGAGTCGACTTTTTGAGAATGTCTACATTTTGTTTGTTTGTTTTTTTGAGTTGGAGTCTTACTCTGTCGCCCAGACTGGAGTACAGTGGCTGCTCCCGGGCACCGGAGCCTCGACCTGCTGGGCTCCGGCGATCCTTCCGCCTCAGCCTTCCAAGTAGCTGGAACTACGGGCGCGCACTACCACGCCTGGCTAATTTTTTGATTTATTGTAGAGATGAGGTCTCGCCAAGTTGCCTAGGCGGGTCTTGAACCCGCGGGCTCAGGCAATCCACTCACCTCAGCCTCCCAAAGGCACGGGATTACAGGCTGAGCCACCGAGCCCAGCTGTCATCGTTTTTAACTTACCTGAAAGTGAACTTGGGACAGGAGTGTTTTTGCACCTGCAACTGTGTCTATACCAGGGTCCTGTTTTTTTTAAGTTAACCATTAACAGCCCTCCCAGCCCCCAGATACTTCACTACTGCTGTCATCTTCTTTTTTTTTTTTTTGAGTTGGAGTCTCACTCTGTTGCCCAGACTGGAGTGCAGTGGCTGCTCCCGGCCACCACAGCCTCGACCTGCTGGGCTCCCACGATCCTTCCACCTCAGTCTTCCAAGTAGCTGGAAATACAGGCGCGTGCTACCACGCCCGGCTAATTTTTTGATTTATTGTAGAGATGAGTTCTTGCCAAATTGCCCAGGCGGGTCTCAAACCCGCAGGCTCAGGCAATCCACTCACCTCAGCCTCCCAAAGTGCTGGGATTACAGGCTGAGCCACTGAGCCCGGCTTGCTGTCATCTTAAAAGCTCAGGATAAGGCGGTTCAGGCTAGAAGCTATGTGGTGGCCAAAACTAGAGGAAAAGGCTTGCATGTGGTTTAGACAAGGAGTAAGGGAGAAAGCATAGAGAATTAGAGAGTTATTGAACTTAAAACAATTTTTGGCCAGCGGTGGTAGTGCATACCTGTAATCCCAGCTATTTGGGAGGCTGAGGCTGGAGGATCGCTTCCGCCCACAAGTTTGAATCCAGCCTGAGACCCCATTTCTGGAAAAAACAATTGTACCAGATCAACTCTTTTTCTTGACTGTTATTTAGTCTCATTCATTCCTTTGTAGTGAGGGGGACATGTTTGGGACTAACACTTCACACAGATGGTTCTATGTTTATGTCAGATTTTTGACATTTCCTAGCTAACTGTCATCTTTTTCTCTCAATCGCTTTAATAAAAGGCTCTGGGCTACAGACCACTATCAGCCTTTAAGGATATTTGCTGGCCATCTTGCTGATGTGAATTGTACCAGATTCCATCCGAACTCTAATTATGTTGCTACGGGCTCTGCAGACAGAACTGTGCGGCTCTGGGATGTCCTGAATGGTAACTGTGTGAGGATCTTCACTGGACACAAGGTATTTGACACTCTGATTATTCCTGCATACGTGGTTGTCTTTAAGATAAAAATATTTTTTAAACTGACCAATGACACATTTTTTTTTGAGTTAGAATCTCACTTTGTCGCCCAGGCTGGGGGCAGTAGCACACTCATGGCCACTGCAGCCTCGACCTGCTGGGCTCAGGCGATCCTTCCACCTCGGCCTTCCAAGTAGCCAGAACTACCACGCACACCCGGCTAATTTTTTGATTTATTGTAGAGATGAGGTCTCACCAAGTTGTCCAGGCTGATCTGGAACTGAGCTTAGGCAATCCTCTCACTTTGGCCTCCCAAAGTGCTGGGATTTCAGACTTGAGCCAATTGCCTGGCAGAAACTTTTTTTTTTTTGAGTTGGAGTCTCACTCTGTCGCCCAGGCTGGAGTGCAGTGGCATGCTCATAGCTACTGCAGCCTTGGCCTGCTGGACTCAGAAGATCCTTCTGCCTCAACCTTCTAAGTAGCTGGAACTACACGCCCACGCTACCGCGCCTGGCTAATTTTTTTATTTATTGTAGGGATGAGGTCTTGCCAAGTTCCCCAGGCTGGTCTTGAATCCCCGGGCTCAGGCAGTCTCTCACCTCAGCCTCCCAAAGTTCTGGGATTACAGGCTTGAGCCACTGCACCTGGCCTACGTTTTTTATTGAGGGATCTCACTCTGTCACCCAGGCTGGAGGGCAGTGGCACACTCAAGGCCACTGCAGCCTCAGCCTGCTGGGCTTGGGCCATCTTTCCGCCTCAGCCTCCCAAGCAGTTGGAACTACAGACATGTGCCACAACACCCAGCTAATTTTTTGATTTACTGTAGAGACGAGGTCTCGCCAAGTTGCCCAGGCTGGTCTCAAACCCCTGGGTTCAAGGCAGTCCTCTCACCTCCGCTTTCCAAAGTGCTGGGATTGCAGGCGTGAGCCACCATGCCCAGCCTGACACACTTTAGACACCATTCATGCCACTAAACTTTATAATCTTATTTGCTTAGATGCACTTTTCCATGAACTTCTTTTCTAGGGACCAATTCATTCCCTGACGTTTTCTCCCAATGGGAGATTCCTGGCTACAGGAGCGACGGATGGCAGAGTCCTCCTTTGGGACATTGGACATGGTTTGATGGTTGGAGAATTAAAAGGCCACACCGACACAGTCTGTTCACTTAGGTTTAGTAGAGATGGTGAAATTTTGGCATCAGGTAAATGACTTAATGGCTGTGGCAAAGGTAAATGCTGGATGGAAAGGGAACATGAGTGTTGGCAGTCTTGCCTCCCTGTAGCCATGTGATTCCACAGTGTCGCCCACGTTGTGTGTGGACTCCTCAGGGGAAAGTGCTGCTGGACGTGCTCCTTCAGAAGTAGAGCTGTCGGCCAGGTTTAGGCTTCTCACCAAATACAGCAGAGACAGAAAGTATGCTGAGCAAAATGTCAGAATCTGAACATGACGGGTGCAGCTAACGATTTCCTTGGCCTTCCCCTAGGTTCGATGGACAATACAGTTCGGTTGTGGGATGCTATCAAAGCATTTGAAGACTTAGAGACCGATGACTTTACCACAGCCACGGGACATGTAAACCTGCCTGAGAACTCACAGGAGTTACTGCTGGGAACATACATGACTAAGTCAACACCAGTTGTGCACCTCCATTTCACGCGAAGAAACCTGGTTCTTGCTGCAGGAGCTTACAGCCCACAGTAGACCACCAGTGTTAATAAGACCTCTCAAAGCTCCTGTTTGGACAAGGGAGACTAAAAGCAAATACCTCAGTGACTAAGCCACAAAGACGCCACTGTCTCTGTGGACCTGGAAGCTGCTGCTCGCAAAGTCCGACAGGACCGCCCCACCTTTCTACAGCAACGTGTTGAACTTGTTTCCGTTAGTTGAGTAAGAGGGGTTATGTTCACGGAGGGGACATTTATGGTGCTTTGGATTGTGTGGAAACTATGCATTTTCTGTTGAAATGCTATTTTAATTTATTATGTTTAGAGAAAATGATTTCAACAACTCATCCTGCTTCAAGATTCAAATTGAGAAACAGAATTAATACCACCTTGAATTCCAGTTGAAGAGCCCTATGAGCATGTGTTTCTGTGGTAGAGATGCAGTCACTGCACGGCACTTGAGCACCGCGTTAAATGACCCACTGACACTTCTTTTCTCGGCCCGTGATGACCGGAGTGGGCAGGTGAGCTGCAGTTCCTTTCTTACTTCTAGCTGCTGTACAGCCACCCACTGACATCTGAATTTACACCTGTTGAGTTTTGCGTGAGCCCGGGCACTCTGTCAACCAGGTGAAGAAGTGTAGTTTCCATGTTCTACTTCAACCAAAACAGCTCCATAAAGCCTAGTGCACTTGAAGTCAGGCAGACATTTCAGTTGCTAACCTCCAGTACTGAGCCTTGCTTTGGGAAACTAAAAGGTGTAGACCAAGTCACTGCCAGTTTTTGCCTTTGTTGCATTTTGTACAGTTTTTATATTTTTGATACCTTGTAAATAAAGACAAACAGCTTTTCCAGGTTCATAATTTATTGTACAAGTTGAATCATCATGTGATAAGTTGACATCAGCTTCTCCAAGCACGGGAACTTAACAATTCAGTATCCTATAAACAAAGCAAAAATAGTTTAGACACATGTGTTCAACGCTACTTTTAAGATGTTCAAGAATTACTAGGACGACATGAGCCCCTGAAATTCCACCCAAATTCATTAGATTCTTAAAAGAGTAACAACAACAACAAAAACCTAAGAGACCACTCAGCTTCATACATTTCGCCTAACACTCCACCTTCCGCAAAGGAGCTGCCACCACTTCGTGTGAGACTTAAAGGCATACTCTTGCTGGGAGAGTCTAGTATACAAAGTAGCACTGTGAACAGCAGAAACTAGATGTGCATCACTTCTCCATTTCTCCGTTTTTACAACGGGGAAACCACCACCCAGAGCTAGGAGGTACCAGAGAAGGAAAACAGCACAACTGCCTATCTGTCAGGACTCAGCCACTGACTGCTGCATTCTGGGATATGCAGTCCCCCATGGCCAAGGATTAAGGGTTTTGAGACTGGAAGCGCTCCTACGAGCAAAAGAAAAACTTGAGCCCGTGAAAGGAAGCTGTGGGAGACGAGGACTTGGACTGTGGGCCCCCACATGTTGTCTGCTGCCAGCAGCAGACACTGGCTCAAGGGGGGAATGGGGGCTAGGAGGACAAGAAAAAGAGAACGGAGCCTCTGGGGAGGAGAGGAAAAGACAGAACTAATTATATAAGAGCCTGAAGTAAACTAGCAAGAGACGGAAAGTACCTGCAAGTGACATGAACTATTACATAAAGAGCTCACTCACGTCACCCAGCTGTCAAGACAGGAGTAGGATGTTAAGAAAAAGATAAATGGGAAACAATGGAAAAAAGTGAACTGGCCAGGCTCAGTGGCTACTGCCTGTAATCTCAGCACTTTGGGAGGTGGAGGCAACAAGACTGAGTCCTGGGGTTTGAGACCAGCCTGGGCAACAAGGCAAGACCTTGTCTCTATAAGCAAACAATTAGCTGGGCATGGTGGTATGTGTCTGTAGTCCTAGCTACTTGGGAGGCTGAGGTGGCAGGCTGAGGCTGCAGTAGCCATGAGTGAGCCATGGCACCCCAGCCTGCACCACAGAGTGAGACTCTGACTTAAAAAAGAAAAGAAAAAAGTGAGCTTCAAAAAGCAAGAGACACTAATTACATTTTTATTTTATTTATTTATTTATTTTTGAGTTGGAGTCTCACTCTGTCGCCCAGACTGGAGTGCAGTGGCCGCTCCTGGCCACCACAGCCTCGACCTGCTGGGCTCCGGCGATCCTTCTGCCTCAGCCTTCCAAGTAGCTGGAATTACAGGCGCGCACTACGATGCCCGGCTAATTTTTGAATTATTGTAGAGATGAGGTCTCGCCAAGTTGCCCAGGTGGGTCACGAACCCGCAGGCTCAG